AGGAAAGGAGAAGATATGTGGATGTTTTTAAAGCTGGCCATTATGGACAATGAACATAGAGGCATAAAATTCAAGTAGGGCTAATAGCTGTACATGTGAAAGACTCCAAATCAGAAAATACTGACCTAAAGCAAGAGCTCTCCTACTTCAGGTACTGATCGCTTCTCATTTGCGCTTTCCAAGCAGATTATTTCATGTACTGTATAATCCACACAACTTAAGCATTCAGCTCCTTGAGTTTTGACAATTGATCTTGTGAAGATCTATTTCTGAGTTCATTATTTTCTTCTGTTATTCTAATTACATGTTCTTAAATACTTGATTATTGTGAATTTAAGGTACATTTTACATTGAATTGGTGTTGTCTTCTACCTTTGCCCTTTGTAATTTTTTTAAAGAAAATTATTGTGGTTAAGAACACTTACCATAAGATCTATCATTGAACTGACTTTTAAATACGGTATGGTATTCTCAACAATACATTCAACTATTGGCAAATGTTATTCCACTTTTTGATTCTATTAATTCAATTATTCTATCATGCTGCATTTTGGTGTTGGATTTTGTTATAAAACTGATTTATTAGCAAAATATTTTCAATGTTTTCAAGTTGTTGCATGCTGCAGATTTTCCTTCTTTCCTTTTCTTTTTTTTTTTTTTTTTGTCTCACTATACAGTTCCAGCTGGCCGTGAGCTCACTTTGTAGCCCAGGCTGGTCTCAAACTCCCAACGATCCCGTTGCCTCAGCTTCCCGAGTGTTGGGATTACAGGTATGCACCACTACACCAGGTCTTTCCTTCCTTCTTGAAGGCTAACATGTAATCAATTACATGTATATTGCATTATTTTTATCCATTTGCCTTCTCATGGATATTGAGTTTGTTTTCATACTTTTGATGTGGTAAATATGCCACAATAAACATAGGCTTGTTAGTGTCTCTTTGTGACCCTGAGATCATTTTCTCTGGATGCATACATAGAACGGGAGGTGAATGATACCAGCATTCACATGAATTGGGAGCAGTTGCTTCCTGGTTGGGCTCCAGCTGAGACTCCAGTTTGTGACTAACACTCTGAGGCCTCATAAAACTCTATTCAGAAGAATCAGCAGGTCAGCCTTGTACTACCGACCCAGAGGAACTGTGACAGAATTAGCACTCTTTTATGCCACTAACCTTGTACTTTGTTAGGCTACATAGAAAATTTACATATTTGCTTAACTCACTTATTATCTTCAGCCACATTTTTATCAATTCCTTAACATAGTCTATCTGGATGTCTCTTAGCTGTGAAATATTCTTATTTGGAAATCTACCTGCCATTTATTTCATGATCTTGTCTTATTGAATTGGCAATAAACTCTAATATTAGTAGAAAGTGATGATGTTAGTTGTTGTTTCTTTGTTATTGTTACTATTTTGCAAATGCATTTTTGCAGAAAAAGCTCAGGATCTTTTCATATATTGATAGTTTGTTACAGTTATCATGAACCTGTATTGAGTTTTGCCAAATGGTGTTTTCCACTTATATTCATCCTATTAATATGAGCATAATTTTTCTTTGTAGTCTTTTAATATGACTAGTCAAGGGGCTGGGGATTTAGCTCAGTGGCAAAGCGCCTGCCTGGCAAGCGCAAGGTCGTGAGTTCAATTCCTGGTACCAGAAGAAAACCAAAAAAAAAAAAATATGACTAGTCAAATTACTTATCTTATAAATATTAGTCCAGTCTTATACACACCAGGTTGATCTTACTTAATCATAATGAATATTTTCTCTGTTATTTATATTGGTGGATTTCAATTTTTAAGATTTGGTTAAGATTTTACTTCTATGCTTATAAGATATATCACTCTATAAATTTCTTAGAGAAACTATAGTCTGCATAAACATTCATCTCTATTATTCATATATATATTCATATATGTATATACCATTGATATCAGAATATTGCTAGTATTATAAAATGTGGTCAAATATGACATAATATATTTTGTATTGTGCAAGTGTTTGTGGAAGATTGGTATTTCTCTTGCACTAGGTTAATGAAAGTGTTCAGATCCATAAACATGGGAATTCATTGCATTTATTTATGTCTTTAATTTTGTTTAGCAGTTATGATAGGTGATTTCTTGTGCCAGTACCTTTACTCCTTTTTATTATACCTGTTTTTTCGGGACAGTATATTTTTGGTGCTTTTCTCATTTTCTAAGTGTTCTGGCTTGTATTTAGATGTCCCCTCAAAGACTTAACCCCTCATAGATGGAATTTTTTAGAGGTGACTGGTCTAGGGTGTGTGATACTTGGACTAAGGATGTCTGACAACTAAATTAGTTTATCATAGTGCTGGGTGTGGATACCTGGAAGACCCACTGTGTGGCATCACCCAAAAGGCTTGTAGCCTGGATGAGATTAAAGAGATGGGGAGGCTTGCTGCTTGCTGCTTGCTCACTCACTGCTTCTGCCTGCTTTCTGTGGACTGTTTCACCGCTGTGATCCTCCTCTGCCATGCCATCCTTGGAGACACCAACTATGATGATAAAGGATATCTTATTTTGATGATAGTGGATATCTTATTTTGTTTTTGTTGTTGTTGTTGCTTGGTTTTGTTGTGGTTTTTCTTTTGCTTTGAAAAAGCGTCCACTATGTATACCAGACTGGCTTTGTACTCACTATTTAGAGCAGAATGGGTTCAAACTCATGACCATTCTTCTGCCTTAGGCTCTCAGTTGCTGGGATTGCATGCTGTGCTACCACACTCTGCCCTGGATACCTTATTTCTGTGCAGTGGAGAAAATATATAGGCATTCATTATTAAAGATTAAGTAAACAATATTCCCTTACTACTTTATAATATATACATATTTTACTATGTAAAGATATCAAAACTATGCAAATTTTCTCTAATTATATTCATAAATTCTACAAATTACAATGATGTTATTTCGTGATCCCTAATCCTAGTACTTCATACAGATGTTCAATGAACTGGTGGTGCTTCCACCACCATCATCATCATCACCACTATTTTTGGCAAACTCTGGATATGGATTAAGAACAATAGTGGCTGATTTCAAAGAGTCATCACTCTAGGCTCCGTGGAACAAATATAATTTATTCTTTAACCTCACACAACCAGACAGTAGTGCTTACTTCTGGTAAGAAAACCCAGCGAATTGGATTTGACCTCAAGAGAGAAGAGTGATGAGCCTGTTTTTGTTTGTGATTGGTAGGGAGATGTAGTGAAGGCCACTGTGCATCTGCTGGTTTCCTTCAAACATGGTGATACTAATATGTAAGTTCTTGCAGTCGAGACGCTCACCATGCTTTCAGTAATGGCATGTCCATTCCTAAGAGTCATGTACCAAAGGCTGATCTGCTTGGTGAAATCCTATGTTTGGTCACAGGCTTCAGACACATGGAGTCGTTAAGGACACCTGTTGCAGTGATGGCATGTAACACTATCTCATTTCTGGGAAAATGATTCCCATATCAATGATCTCTGAATCAGCTTCTTATAATTCTCCTTCCTTAAGGTATGACAACACAAATCTTATTATTTTAACTGGTGGAAGCCTAGCCTAACTTTAGAGAGTATAATTAGTTCCTGTGGTTGAAGAGGAGGCAGGAATATGTGCTTGCTGTTTAGCTGTGGAAATCATGTCCAATAGTAAGCTTCACTTTGTGTTAATGCCTTTGGTTATATATACTAACTCAGTTCTTACAATCAGCATCAAATGATGATTCTCCCTTCTTCCTTTCTCTCCTTCCTCCTTCCCTTTCTTTCACCTTTCCTTCCTTCATTCTCCCCTCTGTGTTTCTGCTTTTTGTTGTTGTTCGTTTACTTTCTGTCACTGAGAGTGAAATCACTTACATACTTTCTTCCTTTCTATTTTTTTCTAGTTTTGAATTTCTTTAGTTCACATGCCTTTTTTCTTATTGTAGAAAACAAATTAATAGTTTAAGAGAAGAAAACAATATGTAAGTTTTCCTCTTCAATTCACCGTGCTTCAAAGTCCCTAATTTGATTTCTTCATATTGATTCAAGTAGTGCTGATAACCAAACCCTCCTATTATAATAAGACACTGTATATGAAAATTCTGCATGAAGTCATCAAAATGAAAGAGCAAACAGCGAATTTGAAAAAAGAGCTTCTCATTAAAACATCCATCAGTTATGATATCATTGTTATAAGCTGGCAGAGGGGGAAAGGACCTTTAGATTAATATGCTGTCAAGCTGAGCCTTTGTGCCATTCCTGTCCCCTCCACTCTGCTCATTTACTTTCTCTGTCACTGAGAGCCAAATCACTTCTGCAGGAGATTGCCATGTGAAACTCTCTCATTATTTCCACAGAGGACTCAGTATGGGCAAAGCGAAGTCACACACACACATGCACACACACACACACACACACAGCTTGATTAAAATTGTGATATTATATTGAGCTTAATTTAAAAATTTGAGTACTGTATTAATAAAAACTATGGACTTTTTTTCTATTAGAACATACTTTTTATTTTAAAGATAAAAGAACTTAAACATCTTAATAAACACACAGACATACGTAAAACAATATAAAAACAATAAAAGTAATACAGAATTCCAGACCAGGTGATAGGAAATTAACAATGCATATAGACTTAATTTTTGACCTTCAACAACACATAAACTACCACCAGGACGCTAGATATGAATTAGCAGCTGAAAAGATCTGTTTAACATATATATGTAGGTATATTTATATATACACACTTCCACTGATCACTTAGATGGTTTTAATGGAAAATAAAGCTGGTTTTTATTAAAGAGCAAGCCGTGCTCTTTAGCTCAATTTGACCTCTGTGGAGAGAAGTTCTTGGTCTTGGAGTTTGATCTTTCCAGTATCCCCCAGGCTAGGCAGCCTGACCTATGCTTTTACTGAGGAAAAAACATGCTTAGATTCCCTTATTACTTCATCCAGACTGAAATAGTGATTTTTTTTTAACAAGGAGCAAGAAGTGCTGAGCAGGTGTACAGGTGAAAGGAAATTCTGGTGAGGACTGGCAGATTATGTAGCCTCCACACATTTGCACAAAAACAAATACAAAAAGAGGTAAGTAATTAACATGTCTTATAAATTAAGTAAAAAGTTTTCAGAAGGAGAAGTACCCAGTTGTTTCAGATGCTTTGGCTGCCAGGGGAACTTCTTTATTGGCCTTACAGAGTTATGGGATATTTTTCTTTAGTCTCACCTACAGGATCATTTGAACAACTGTCTTGATAATCATTATTATGCACTTCACAATTTTCAAAGATTTATGACTAAGATTTATATTAACTTTCAATGACTTTTAGTTTTATTAACATGTATATTTCCTTTATCTGAATTTAGTCTATTTCTTTCTCCATATATGTATAGACAAACACTGCTCATGAATGGATTTATTAATTTAGAGGTTTGTGAAATCTTTTTTAGTTTGTGATTTGCAATATTTGGAATATTTTACCCTGTAATACTTAGATATCTATGTAATGAATTTATGAAACAATACCAAATATGCATAACAAAATTAATATTCTTCCACGTTGAATTACTTGACTTGGCTTTTTAGATAGCTTATTTGTAGAGTTTATCTTGTAATTAGAAAATCCAAATAGGTAAAGATGACTGACATCATACTACCTTTACAGAGAACATGAGTAACATTACAGTAGACCCATAGGCCTAGTTGATCCTTCTGCAATTTTCATATATTAATTATTGATCCCTTTGTTACACAAGAACTGAAATACTGCTGAGAGTCCCTGTTCCAGCCCCGAGGTCATGGAGATGGTGCACACAGTTCTCATGGGAGAGGCAGACCCGCCCACAGGTAGGCTGGAAGAACCGTGGAGATATAAATGTGGATGACAGTGGCAGCCAGAAAGAAGAAATATTCTATCTGGTACGAGGAAAGCTTTTAAAGAAGAGTCTTATGAAATGGGGTTTTAGAGGGACCGCTGAGTCATATTTAGGGGAGAGAGCTCAAAAGACCGTGGCAGGAGGACCAGCATGTTCAAAAGCACAGGAACACCTGGACTGATTTCCAGGGCCACAAGTAGCCACAGGGTTCAAAAACTATAAAGTTAGGATCAGATTAAGAGATATTGTCTAAGATTTCCCAAGGAGTTTGTACTTTTCCAATGTTCACTAGTTAAGTTCTTCAGGTTTAATATCTCAACTCCATCAACTATTTCTGTTTCTGTAGAACTATGTGAGAGCTTGGCATCATTTTCTCGATATGACAATGCCAAGTGTTTCTCTTTCCCTTGATAGTAATGAATAAGGAAAACTGTATGAACGTGCTAAGCATGATTTATGAGTGCAGCTGCTCATGAACGTTAGTGACATCTCAATTTTCAAGCACAGGGTTAATATCATCAGATTTGTATTTTTATGATTTTACTAGGAACTGAGGAATTAGATTGCCAAACCAAATAGAAAGAATTAGAATATGAAACTAATGCTGTAACGTTGATATGGGAAAGAGCAAGAGATTGGGTGGGTATTTAATAATAATAATAATAATAATAATGATAATAATAGCAACAACAAAAACAAATGCAGCAGCTTCAGCCATTACTGAATAATAGCCTCATAAACTGCTCTGTACACTTGTATCAGGTATCTCATTAACTTTTACAGCAACACATGTGAGATAATATCCCTATGTCTTTAATGAGAAGCAAAATTTAAGATACATAATGCTAAGGAAAATGCACGGTAAATGCTCAAAGGAAGATTGAAATTAAAATCCTTCTTGTCCTAATCACGGTGTCACTGCTTGTACTACCATACTAAGCAATTAATTTTAGTCTGTGATTTGTTACAGAGATACCTACTAATTGCTATATACAAGTTCAGGTAAATTTTCTCCTTCTTCTCCTTTTCTCTTTTGTTCCATGGTTTCCTTTTCCTTGTGTTCAGCAAATATCCTGCCACATTAGAAATTTTCAAAATGATAATCATATAGGAATTTTGTTAACAAATAATTAATTTATTTCATTCATTGCTTATACTAGCAAAGCTGAAACAGTTGTTTGTTAATTCAGCACAAAATTATAAGGTCCCTTGAAGGTTCCAGTCAATCTCTTAAAAACAAGAAGCCTGAATTAATGTTTTACATGTATGAGATATGGATTTTAAATAGAAATTTAAATGAACCTTATTAAGATGCAGAGAAAGAAAGCACAGTGTAGTGCTTTCAGAACATCTATAAGAAATGTTGAAAAACAAAAATATTCAGGAACTTCTTTTCCACATTTCCAAACATACATCTATTTCAAAACGTTTGTTTGGTGGTTTGTTTGATGTAAAACACTAACTAGAATATCATATGAATTTTTAAACCTTGCTGAGAAAATATGTACATCTATGAACATATATTCAGACACACATGTCACATTTAGAAGCAAATGCAAGAATCTTGTATGGGTGCTTATAGCATCCAGTGTCACATCCATTCAGACACACACACACACACACACACACACACACACACACACACACACATACACACACCCTTAAAATGGTGAAAGTGACTTATAGCCTTTCTGCAGGTTATGAAATCCTCTGATGAGACTGAGAAATCTCACAGAAAGGGTTAATGAGATGCCATCTACAACCATGACTGCTCAGTCTGCAAACTGTTTGGTCTTCCCCTTGGTCACCTCCTCTCTGTTATGACTGGGTGATAACTAGCCATTTTTGGACTTAGAGAATCACACTGAAATTGTAGGTTTTAACATCAGGAAAACATGAGTTTGAATCCAGGTTCTATCGTATACTTTCCATGTAACATTGACAGATTATTGAAATTAATCCCATATTATTTTTTTCCTCTAAAACTTGTCTTCCTTACTATTATATACATTAATTTTGATGTATGAAAAGAAACATGGAATAAATGATGCTATTATTGTAATTGCTGTTAATTTAAAATTTTCTATCCTGTTAGCGTGTGTGTTCCCTTAATTTGCTTTCCTAATATCAAGCATCCGGTATACCATGCAATAGGGACTTCAGTAACGTATGGGGACAGGGAGGGTGGAGAACATGTTAGTGTGGAGGAAGAGGTGTTCATTTCTCCTTCATCTTCTCTATTCGTTCTCAGAGTATGAACAGCACCTGAAAGAATGTTAGAGATGCAAACCACGGTCCTTTCTTCACCAGTCACATTCTCTGGATTTAGAGCTTAGGGGAGAATTATTTGCTGCTGGTGATTTGTATGCACATTAAAGTTGAGGAACACTTGCTCTGCTCTATCCCTTATACTCTTTACCATTACAGTCCTTTATCTCCCAGTCATGTACAACTCTTTTGCTCAGGGAATTGGGTTTTCAAGCAAATCATACCTGAAACAAAAGCCCCACTCCCACTATTGGATGAGCTTGAGCCTCGGGTTGTTTGTTCAAAACTTCTTTCCCAGGTTTGCTCCTTGCACCTTCCACCCCCACAGAAGGAAGAGCTCTGAAAAAGTCAGGCACTGGGGAAATTTTAGGAAATTCCATAGGCATTCCTTAAAGAATTCATTGTATACAATCAAGTTTGGAATGAGTTAGAGGTTTGTGGGTTTTCTTTTTTTACTTATTTTATGTGCTTTTTTAAACTTTTCTTTCTTGAAATTAGTTTCTATTTGATTTCCTTGACTACTAGAGTTCAGAGGTAGAAATATACCCCATGCTGGAGAATGAGGGTATATATTTCACCAGAAAGAATGAGGTAAGGAGCAATTAGACTCTGAAGTGCAGAAAATTCATATGTAGTGTAACTGCAGCAAAAGCAAAAGGAAATCATTTATGATGATAATAACACTAATATTCTGAAATCTGGGCTCTTGTTCACATGTTATGGGTAGTAACTCAAACCCTTTAACACTGATACTGGTATCTCCATTTTGAAAATGAGAAAAGTGAGTTTTAAATGACTTTCTCAGTCATCCAAAAATCAGTGATGAGGCCACAATTCCTTTGTGTGCATCCTAACATCAGGGCTCACATTTTGAGGTACCACACTGAAGCATCTCAAAAAATATTTTCTGGGTACTTACCTTTGGTTTAACTCATGGGGTTACACAGTGAGTGGCATCAACTGTACTGTTCTTTTGCTACTTTGTAAAAGGTTGTCTGTCTGTTAATGTTTTCCTCCTTTTATTTTTAACATAAAAAACAAACAAAAAAAACCCCAAATAGTTCAGAAGGAAGGAATTCAACTCCAGCTGTCCTTAATACCTTAGCATTAAAAAAAAATGAAAGCAGAATGAATTCTCTATGGCTTCTAACCTTATTGAACAAGCTTGGAGTTTATATATAGATTTATCCTAAGTTCCTAGCAAATAATAAGGAATGCACATCTTCTTAGCATTTCCAGCATTCTTGTCATAAGCTAAAGGATGTAGCCATTGAAAAGTTTGAGTATGTAAACTCAACTGAAACTCACAGTTCCTCTGACACTTGGTGTCACCCTACACAATAAGTGACAGTTTTGTTAGCTGCATTGCTAATTTGGCTGTTATTACTGGTATTCCATTTTAATGTAACCTTCTAAAGGGTATCAAACACAGTTTGGTCATTTTATGAATATTATAACTGTCGGTCACAAGCTCTTATGATTTCCTAAAAGTATCTTCAGCTGACACAAGGATAGAAATTGTCTTGTAGGAAGCTTACTTAACTTCAGTTTAAATTTCTATTTCAATAATGAATAAATAACAACCATCAATTAAGTATATGAAATATATTTAAGTTATAATAATACAGATATCTTGTACCATGCCTTTATTGTGACAACCATATTATTTTGCAAGACGGAATCACTGATTCAGGCTACAGAATTTATGATCATGGCAATTTTATAAATAAAGGAAAAATGGAGAAATACATGTCAGAGGGTGGATTCCCTCACAAAAGGGAAAGCTGGTGTGGATTCACGCTTTCTGTATGCGGCCACAGGAAAAGTGCAGATTCACATTCCTTAGAAGATAGATTTTCATTGTTGTTCTTTACTGGCCACCTCATTCCCGATCACCAACCTACTCTCAAAGCTGGTTTTCACTTGCCCTTCTCCTTTCCTCTGTAGTCCAACAGTCTTTAATCCCCACTGTTGCCCTTTAGTAAGTCACATCGCAGCTTCTGTTTCAAAAGACTGAGCTCTTCCTTGTCTGCTTCATTCTCACGCCAACCACTGACCTGACACACACCCGTGCAAATTCCACTTTCATCTTGCTATCACGTTGGTGCCCTTCCTTCATTTCAGATCTAACACATTGTGAAGAATTGTGCTGGACTTATGCTTGTCATGGCAGCACAGAAAGGCTGAGGAGTTACACTTGGGCCTGACTGAATTCCCAGTATACTGGAGAAAAGATCTTTCCAGTTTCTAGAAATCTGATAATTAAAATTCAAAGTAAAAGATTTAGAAATTCCATGCTCAAATTTTAGAGAAAATGTCATGTCTTTTCCTGGAGCTTCTATAATTTGGTCATTGTTCCTTTCTGATTCCTAATACCATATCTGAAATAAAAAGCAAATGGTTCGTACAATGAATGTAAAGATTAGGTACTACATACATGTACTAATAAAATAAAATTAACAAAAAGCACAAAGGCTCTGTCCAGATGGTTTCCATTTTTTTTTTTTTTTTGTACCAGGAATCAAACTCACAGCCTCATGCTTGCCAGGCAGGCACTTGAGCCACAGAGCTATACCCCCAGCCCCTGGGCTCTGTCCACATGACAGTCCCTTGGACTTCTCAGTTTCCTGTACTTGTAAGAAATAAATCTCTGTTCTTTAATAAAAGCAAATAGTTAGACATCATCTTGTACTGTTTTCAACA